TTACAGTCGATTTAACGCCCTAATACATTTCGTTGATGGGTGAAAAAAAGTTCCGGTGGAAAAAAAATTCACGCGCTCAAAGGGTTACATAAAATTACTTGCGGCTTTAGTGTGAAGTTCACGCGGTAAGCTCGAAAAGCAAAAGGGGAAGCGATGAAATAAAAGAGTCAACGCATCATCACACAGTTAGGGAATAATTTTATTATTACAGTCTAATTTTAATCTCCCTTGCACGTGTTTCGATTTTAAATTGTACTGTGTATTGGTTGGCTACAAAAAGTTCTACGATATTAAAATAGATATACGTAGAACATTACGATATAATAAACAACGCGTTACAACAGATAAAGAAAGAAAAATATTTTTTCAGAATATTCAAATATATCTTATGCGTTATTCATTAGCCAATAAATAACACGGATATTACCGAATCATTACAATAATAATTTGGCAGTCCTGTTTTAGCTATTGTTACATGTACAATGTTTGATGTACGCAATTTTAAACAGTCCTAAAGCATAGTTGGAACATAATATACGGCCGATGAAGGCAAACTGTGGTTTTAATGGGCGTGTAAATTTTTTATGCGCCATTAAAATGATCATGAAAATAGCCGCACACGTATGCACACACACGCACGCACGTATGATACACGCGTGTGCCTTTTGCGAAGAAGAAGGTGGAAGAGGAAGCTTCTTAGGAAATGGCGAAATAAATGCTTTAACGCAATGAATTTTTCTGCGGGCAGCTGAAACGAAGTGTAATTAAGGTTATGACTGTTGTTGGTGGTTATCCAACTGTGGCTCATCTCAGAACCGCCAGCTAGGCCTCACAAATACGGCATGCACACGTACGTGCAAATCTGTCCAACACACGCATACACATCGACTTACATAAGCGCTCGAACGATACGCTCTACGAAAACGCTGAATTAGATATCAACAATTAACCGAGTGAAAGTAAAGTAACGTATAAACCAATATCAGATATATAATTGAGAGGTTCAATTCACCATCCTGGCGAATAATTATCGTCTGTAACGTTTAATATTCTTATAATTCACAAAATATAATTTTACATTATTTGCATAACGCAAACGTTATGCAAACAAGATCGCAGAATTTTCCGTTTGTGTCTCTTTTGATCACACAGTTCAAAGTTGAACAATTTATCGACAGATTTTCTTAATCATATTTATAGTTATCCTTAATTTTAGCTGCATTTATATTTATTTACTCATTAGGACAACGTCACATTTGATAGAAATATTAATTCATTTAACGAATCTCGGATAAAGAAAAATTGTTAAGATTGAATAAATATAAACCGGATATATCTATATACACATTAAATGCGTTTATAAAATATCAAATAAATGAGATATTGTCAACACTCGATGCTGTCGTCGGTGTAACACAACGAAACTTGACACTATCACCAACGGATTAATGTGATAAATTTCCTTCAGCGCGCGATAGCTAAATTATGTTCGACACACACAGAAACACAAAGATTGCGCGGCGAGAGAGTCGGCGCGTGTATAACATCGAGAAATCCCATCTCGAGGACGGGATCAGGGATCAGGGTCTAGGCGTCGTCAACGCGGCTGGCGGCCGAGATACGAGCAGTGCCCGCGTCGACATAATTATGCTACGCGCCGTCAGGTAGATGAAGCCGATACAGACGCGGGGACCGTTTAAGCGCCTCCGAGAGCATAAATAATCCTATTAAACGTGTCACTAGCTATGTCAACAATCTGACAGGCAGCAAACCTACCTCGGCTGTCGTGCTACCGATCGTATAGCAACACTGGTTAGAGTTAGGTGCACACGCGGATATATACGTTTGCACGTGACTCGGACGTACATACAAGTCAATGTTGGAGAAGCTGCGGAAATGATTTCATCGGCAACGAGAGCGATGCTGAAACAAGTACATACAACATTACGCAACGCTTAGTAATTCTGTATCGTATATGCTTCTTATTATATTCGTTCGCGTGTATATTTATCGCTTGTCGCGCGATAAAGTTCACGCTATGCGTGCATGAAAGTGACGCAGAAAGAAAAAAACAGAGAGACCAGATTAGGACCGATGGTATTTCGAGTGGCGGTCAATCTCTCTCGCTAGGAATTGAAGACGTTCGTTTACAGTTAAGAGTCATACGGCTCGCCACCTGTTTGTCCGTTCAACTATTCCGCAAGCCACTTCACGGCTTTGCCGACTCGATGTGTGAGTAAATAAGGTATACGCGACGTGGAACACGACGCGCGCAACTCGAGTATCGTCGAGGAGGGCCGGACGTCATGTGCAAGGTGTCATTGAGTGGATTTTTAGCTTTGTCTAGAGAGATTTGAGCTATTTGCAGTCAACGTTTTTTTTAACAGGCGCGGTAAAATATTAATGATCTAAAAATATGTACTACTTTATAAAAGCAGTAAATTTTTAAGTATAACGGAGCAGATAAAACGGAGCAAGATCTATTCGACCTTATTAAATAAAAGTAAATGTCGTAAAGATTTGAATAATTGTATGTGCGTCACATAATTTGAAAAAACTAAAAAACAGCTCATAATTTTTCGCAGATTTCTAATCCGAAAAAAAAAATACGTTCTAATGTCATACGTTGGTTATCAACTTTGTACGTATATATATTGATGTTTGTTAGGCTTACATCACGACTTCCGTACGTTTTCTATTTCTTGTTGTCTTCTTCCTCTCGACAAATAAGTAGATATTAATAACCATTGTGTAATAACGTGCGTTTAATTTTGATTACCACTCAAAAACTATTTCTATACACATCATCGCGAATTTCTTTTCGCAAAAGTAGCTTCGATTTTTTTTTTTTTTTTCAAGACGACACAATTTATTTAATCACATAGACATCATATTTATATTTTGTCAGAAGATGAGCACGACAACTCGAGAGAATAAAAACAAACGAACGTTTTCTCAGAGGTTATTGAAAGCGTGAAGCTTTGACAAGCAATGACGATGACGATGAAGACGACGAAGGGTGCGCGTCGTTCGTAAGTTGCATTCCTACGCGACGAACACAAACGGGGGAGGATGAACGTAGATAGAAGGTAAAGATCGATAGAGGTTCGTCGACTCCGCGACTGACCGAGCTTACGTACTCGATACCGATGGGTTGGTTCGTAACTTTGTCCAAGTACGGAAGCTCCACCGGCCCGCAATAGAATCAAGAAACTCGGATTTGCATAATTCTAAATAGTCAAGAGCTAATAAATCTAAGATGAAAATACGATAAATTAGAAGATACTTCGAAGAAATATATCAAATCGTCGAATATTGATAATTGTGAGAAAACATGCAGTGTTGTTACTTTTTGTAAACTGTTTGAAGAGTGAGAAAAACACATCGAGAAATGTTTTCTCACAATCAGAAGATAATTTTTTATCACATAGGTTTTACACGTTGAATACAAAATTTTAAGATTTCGTTAAAATAAAATCCATGTTTCTTACTCACGCGTATTATAACAAATAAATTAATATGATTTTATGTGTGTTAAATAAAGGTACGGTAAAATGAAACGTTTGCGCATTTACATCATCTTATTTATCTCATGACGACTTAGTCTTATTACTTTATGTAAAGTACAGGTGTCTATTGAGACATCTTTTTTTTTAAGAGTTTTTGTAAGTTATTAAATATCTAATCTTAACCTTAGTTTTTTATGTCAAACTGATAGAAAATATATTCAAGTTTTATCTCCAAAAGCAATCAATAATAGCTATATTTTGTTTTATGTGAATTTTTTAAAATCAAAAGTGCCGATTTTGTTGATTTAAAAAAGAGCTCCTAATATGAGACACAAGGGGTTTCTTTCGTAAAGGAATCTTAGCAACAACAGAACTATTGTCATTCTTAACATATTGCTCGATAGAACTCTTTGGAACGTTGAATTGTTTAGATGCTTTTGAATATCCCATTTCTCTGTGCTTCTTACTATCTTAACAGTCTCTAATTGACTGTGAGATCACGATTGTCTCTTCTTTGTTTCCATCTGAAAATATGATTACTAAAAACTTACTAACACATCAAATAAAGAACTTGACAGAATAAAGAATTTGACAGTTTCCTATTATAAAGTATTTCATATTAAGAGCGACTACGTGTGTCTCATATTAGAAAATATAAAATTGTAAGAAGTTAAAGTTTAATTATTATGTACTTATAGTGCATGTGTACATTTGAGTGAATTGAAATGACAGTGAAGCCTGTGACATATGTGTTAAATACATATTTTAAAGTTATAATGATTATTTTTCCTTTTCCGCGCGTACGCGACTACTTTTTCGCACGTCGCCTTCGGCAGTGAGTGACACTGACAAAAGGTTTGACATTTGTTTTTTTGTAAGTGATGCGTTAAAAATACAAAGTTATGAATTTGTAACCACACGAAACTCGCTATCTCGTATTAAGCGACCATCTCATAATAGACATCTTTACCCCGTGTGTAATCGAAGGAGAAACGCCATTTTCAATTTGCGTTTGTTTTAATATTCTATTATATTCGCGTAATTATTTTATTATATATTACTTGCCAAAACAGCATTTTTTATTGTTCTGAAGATTGTTGCGCCTGGTTTTGTTTAATCCAGATTGGCGCCTATCACAGAATTTTTTTTTCCACTTTTACGTAATCTTCGCAAAGTCCTGCGCACGCACTCCGAAACGGAAATCAAACCGGATCGCACACCGAGTCCGAGAATCCTCCCTGAATGTCACGCGAGGCACAATGAACACGATTGTCACAAACAAGTGCGTTGTTCACTCGCGGTCGACCGACGACGCGTTAGTCCGAAAACATCACGACTTTACGTTTAGCTTCTCGTCTTGGACGAGACAGAAACATCGTTCCGTTTACTCCGAACAACCTGTCGAAAACTCTTTATCGAAAACGTCGTAATAACTGTGTAACTTCACGTTTTTCTCGCAGACCGTTCAAAAAAGTTTCAAACTATACGTACCGACAGGTGGCGTTTTGATGAGCGCAGCATGCGTGCGATTTTTTTTTTTTTTTTTTTTTTTTTTTTTTTTTTTTTCTCAAATGTAACGACAAAGCATCTCTCACTGCAAAACAAAAACACACTTCAACACATTCAATACTGCTTGCTTTGCGCCTAGAGTCACTTTTCTGCTGTGCGACATGCAGCTTGTGTCTTTGATCTACGGCGGATCGCGTGCGGTACAGTCCACTTCGACATTTTCACGACAAACACCACTAAATCCGTAATTTACAAACACGGTGCTCGGTCGATCGCGCGTCGCGAATAATATCCTGCGAATGATATCATCGGTATCTCGGTAAAAGCATCGCGATAACTGTTCCGTACGATGATGCCCGCCACCACCTCCGCGGCAACGTTCACGTCGATGTGGTCGACAGTACGACTGGTTGCCGACGGATCATCTCGTCGAGAGTGACTCGACGCGCCGGCGAACACTCGAGTGCAGAACGTTGTTTATCGCGAGCTGCCGGCACGACGGCATGGCGGAACACGCGCACATATATACGCGACACCAGGAAACGTCCTCTGATTGTCGTCGGTGCGACCGTACTGCCTCGGTGAAGCACGAGGAGACACGACGGGTGGGCGACGAACAGCGATGCGCGACGACGTGCAACGACGAGACGCGAACGAGAAACGACAACACGCGGACGGAGTCGCTGGTGGCCGACTGTCTCCGACGGACGGACGGGCGGGCGTGCTCGCACAGTCGACTCCGCGAACGATCAGCTGATCGCCACGCGCGCTGCTATGGTAACCAACGTCAGCGGTCGGTTACTCCACCAACAAGATTGCACATAGGACTCATTTCGGAAGCCTCTCGCTTGTTTTTGCGCACAATGCGTCGCGAGTTTATGTTCTCGCACGCGTGCACGCGCGTACAGAGAGCCAGCCCACGCGCGGCTTTTTCAGTAGTATGTGTATCGCGCACGTGCGACACCGCCGTGGTGTTGAGCAGCAGTCTCGTGCATGCGCGGGCACGTGGGCACGCGCGTTGCGCGCTGGATGTCCATCAAAAAAATCTTTCTTGCTATGAAAGACAGCACGCGAATACAAATTTCTCAGATAATTTGTTTCCTTTTTTCTTTCTTTCTTTCTTTCTTTGCTCCTTAAAGCCAAGGTAGGTCACGTAATAGAGCAAGGTAGAGGAAGGTGCGTGAGAGAAAACAGAGAAAGAGAAAGAGGCACGAGGGCAAAACTGAGAAAGAGAGTGATAAAAAGAGAAGGGTCAGAGAAACGATGATGTGTTTGTAGACTGACCTAAACACCTAAGCACGACTCGTCATCACACGTGACTTGAACGGCGAGCGACGGTCGAGTGTGACAGAAAGGAAAATCACGAGGCAAGCGTTGCGGTGGCGCGAGCAACAACGTACGCCATCCGCTCGTGTCGGCAGCCGGGCGTGCACTGCCTTCTCGAGTCGTCGGTTGGTTCTCCATCCTCGACTCAGGCAAAGCTGGCTGTGTGGCTGGCTGGCTCTGATCGTTCGTTCGCGCGCTCGCTATCTCCGCTTGCAGACGACCGAAGTCGTCGCTCGCACATATCGCTCGAGTCGACTACGATGAGTCGGATCGATACAATACTTTTACATTTAAAAAACTAGGCAATCACTTATAAGATATACCTATTGAGAAATCAATCGCTTGTCTCGAACGATACGCCTGATTAAATCTTCTTTTTACTGCTAAGACAGTCAATTGCTTTGACGTTAGAAAAGTAATCATTGCTGATATTGAGTTAATTGACAATGAGCAATGGCACGATTATTTGTGACGTGACATATTCTTTTTTTATCGTTCCGTTTAAATTATGAAAAGAGAAGATAATATACGTAAACTCAGTGTATATATATATATATACAAATGATATATATATATATATATATATATATATATATATATATATATCATTTAAATCAATGTATTTAGAAAGAAAAAAGTACACAATATAAATGTGATATAGGAACAAGAGAGCTAAATCTCGATTGTTTTGTGATGTCAGCTCTATACGTTTACGAACAAAAAACAAAAAACTGAAATATAGAGTTAGCTAAAAAATTTCGTTTTAAGTATGATATATTTCTCGTAGAAAGTAAGAATGATTGTTCGAAGTAACGCGGGGTCTCTTAAACAGAGAGAATCGTCGATCGCGAAACAGAGAATCTTGCCGAGAAATGGCCGCGGGCCGCGGATGTAGGTGTTGCTATTCGAGTATTTCGAAGTAGGATCAATCCGGCATTTTTTTCTGCGCGCTGTGTGACCGAGATGTAGACAAATCATTGGCCACGCCTTTGGGAATCAGGCGTCACGCCGTTGCCAAGCCAAAGACAAAGACGCCCACGTGCGAATTGTATCTCTCTCTCTCAATCCAAAAAATTCTCTAAGAAACTTATCTTCGATAATTACCGTTCTGAGAAAATAGAAGTATGACCGACTCCGATGTATTCCTCCGTTCTTCTCGTATTATTCTCTCGCGCGCGAGATGAGAAGTATTACTCATCACGCGGCCTAAATTCTTACCTTTTTGTTTGCAGATAAAAATGCATCAGACAATTTCCTTTGGGTATCACATCTCTCTCATTTCGCATTCTTATTAAATTGTTATTACAATATCAGTGTTTTACTTATTTTATTTGTTAATTGTAACTGTTTATTTTACTCGTGCTCTTCTTTTTTTCTAGTAATATTTCATTTCTTTTTATAGTAATATTTTATTATTATTTATTACGCAACGAATGTGAAAAACTTTATTTATTGTTATATAATTGAAAAGTAGTTAGAGATTTTCAAGTATAACTTAATACGTTTGACGTTTAAATGTCATTATCATATAACAGTACTTATACTCAATTCTTCACGTAGACTTTCTTAAAATTCGATCAACTTCTAAAGTCCTTTGCACAATGAAAGGAATAGCGATAGCGATAGAAATAACACCAGTTTTAAAGAGTTTATGTTTATAAATAACGGTAGAGAAACAGCGGAATCTAGCATACAAAAATACACCTGTATCAATGCAGATCAGAAAACGGAATAAGCAATAGCGATAAAATTTTCGACGAGTTGGAATTCTGTGTCTATTGCTTATCGCTATCACTACTCCCTCGAATTGTGCAAAGAGCTTAACATATAATTATAGTTACGGTGCATCGTGCTATCTAGTGGCAAAGTGGCAAAATAGCAGGAAATACCGGGAAAGATGTCGGTAAATTAGGTTGAAGTGTGATTTTGATACTCTTATAAACTAACTAATCCAGTTTGTCTGAATAACATCTGAAGTCAAATTCCAAATTCATCTTTTATATAAAGAAGCAAAGAGAAAACTGAGAGCAGCCACAGATCAGCTATGTAATCGCGTTTCCGTTCTGTATTCGTAAGCGCTATATCCACAGTGGTGCAAACTGGCAACTGTGTAATCATGTCTGTCACAAAATTTGTCGGTAAGTAAACTTACGTCGGTAATATACACTTTTGATCTTAACGAAAAGAATCGAGAAGTAATTTTAGCCAAAGAAAAGAATGAAAGCAGCGCGGCCACGGCAACATAGCTGTTATTGCTATTCAGGGAAGAATATTTCTCGAAAAATAATTGCTTTTTTGAAATCTGATATTTTGACAGTTTTGGTCGTACACATGCATGTGATATATTTTTTAACCACGCCAGAAACAGTACGTGTCACTGCGTCTGACAGTCCGCAGTTTGTGCAAAATGGGACGGAAAAATATACACACGCTTTTACATATTTTCTAAAAATAAATATACACTTGTGTAACGCATAATCGTGGTTCTTCTTTCTATCATGTTCTATATCTATACAGTCCTTACACCAGTTTCTGATAGTTTTTAGATCGATAGTTTTAGATCGATATTCGACCTGCAACTCAATCGATTTTTGCGTTCGAAATTGATTTTTGCTGCTCTCAGTTTTCTCTCTGATAGTAGCAATGTTCCGTTTTTTTCTTTCTATCAAGACGTTGCGCGTTAGACACGTATTCTTGTATTGAGAACAAAAGAATATATATGTGAAAGGAGATAACAACTCCTCACACACACAGATTAAAATCAGAAGCAGAAATATATACAAAACAACAATGTTTTATTGGAAACAACATACAATCACGTACCACATATTTTTCTTATAAGATCTTATCGTTCGCGCGTCCCGCCAAGGCGTGCACGTTACAAATGAATACAAATGCTCGAAGTTTCGTGGAGCAAGCCCGTTTGTCACGTTCGAGTATCACTCTCGTCCTTTCACCTTCGCCGCGGAACTCACGAACGTCTTTTGTTTTTCCGTTTGAATTTTGGAAATTTTGTATTTCGTTATCATTAGGCGCCCACTTTTGTTTTCACTCTCTCTCTCTCTCTTTCTTGAGTTGAAGAGAGAGAAACCCAAAGACAATCCGAATCCCAAGAGAGACAGACGGAAATAAAGAAGAAAGAAGAAACTCTTGATTACGAGAGTTCTGATCGCGAGTTTTTTTTCTCTCCAAGCCGCGCTCTTACGCTAAAGGGCTAATTCTAAGGAATTTTTTTTAACCCTAGTCCTCGACGACGAAGACGGAGAACGAGGACGAGATGATTCGTCGAGCGGAGGACTTTTTTTTTTTATGTACAAGTACGAATACGATATACATACACGAGTTCATGTATTTTTATTATACACATACTCATATGATATCTTTAATAGTGATGTCACAGCAATCTTTTTTCAATGGTACGAAACGGCACGCCCCTTCACGCATGGGTGCGATGCCTTCTGTGAATTTGTATAGTATCTAATCTAGGGTTAGAATTATTATTTTATTGGTTTAAAGTGTGTGAAAGACGGTAGCCATAACTATTTCGTACGTAACGATCGTATTGACATTGATCCGTCATTGAATCTTTCATTGACTCGCGCGAGTGCACTTTTTTAATACAATATTACCGTATATTAAATAAAAATTTTGAATTTAAAGTTGTACATCAAACTATATAAATTATTTAACGTTGCTTCTAAAGAATCTTCTTCTCAGTAATGATAATAACAAAATTAACTGTACTTTAAAAGACACATTTTTTTTTAAATTGTCCACATGTTTAACTGTCTTTAAAGTAAAATAATTGTTTTTGTGGATCATATCGCTAAAAACTGGCGTTTGTTATTCGTTGTATCGATCCTCGCGCAATGCAACGTAAGTTCATGATTATTTTTCATAAAAAATAACAAAAACGACACTTGATAGGTGTTTTAAAATATATTGTATATATACAGAAACTACTGTATTATTTATTACACTTATCCAATTAGATCAATGTTTTTTCTCACATCAATGTTTTTAGATTATGTTTTTGAGATAAAAATTTTTCGCTCAATTAACATTTATACTCTTTCTCTCTGATATAGTTTTTGATCAAACAATCTAACTTAATCATAATTGATATGATTCTTAATACGTACAAAATTCTAAGAATTACAAATTTCATAGTTAAAAAGATTTTTGTTTTAATAAAAATCTTTTAAATCTCTTAATCTTTCGTAGATTGTGATCGAAAAAGTTATGGCTATCGGTAGAAGAAAGTTTGAAAGGCGAGGGATTTGAGTTCGACGGAGATTATGAAAGAGGATGTCATCATCATCTACGCTCGGTTGGATAAAATTTAGCTAACAGTTACAAATATAAGGAGTTCGCAGCGACTACTATACGGAAAATTATTAAGGCCGCTATTTCGTGCGTGCGCACAATGATTTTTTTCGGATTTTCGTAATCTCTCTGATTCATGAATCGTTGTCGAGGACAGATTGTGATGTGATATTACAATTATTACATTTTTCATTCTATTACGTCGTCATATTGTGTATAGCATAACAGGATTTTACAATAACTAATTTATATGATATCATTAATATTATATCGTATGAATTAGTTATTGTTATATTCTCAAATAAATTCTGTAAAGTGAATTTAATGAGAATTTTGCAAAATATACATTTCACAATTGCTTACTGTATAATTCAAGTTAAAGTATTAATGACATTTCAATATCGTAGAGTAAATTGTAAATGCAATAGCAGTAACATTATACATAAATTATTTTCAAAATATTTCAGCACAAAAAAATTAATAAATGAAAAAAATCTTGTGAATAACAAAATCAGAATTAATAAACAAATTATATTTTGAATTTAGCAATTAAATTGCAATCTTTGTTTATTTTTTTCTTTACACGGTCATGCAAGTTACTTTCGTTACTGCAATCTGCTTTTTGTTCATATATTTTTTTCATTTAACTTTTTTTTTGTGACATAAAATTGTGTACAGTGCAACGTAGGTTTTTTTGCACACACAGATATCAATTTTCATTACTTTTATCATTTTCGATTATAATTCACGAAATGTAGCAGAGAAGAAACTTGATAAACACATGAATTGATTCATCTTACAGTCGTTTTCTATTTCTTTCTTACGGTTTATCGCCGTGTCACTTTGCCTCAATGAGAATCAGCTTAACAGTTAGGCAGTGTCTGTACATAATGTACGTTCCCTCCATGAATAGTGACTGCTTTAACATCACATTCGACAATATAAAGACTCACGTATATATATTTACATATAAAATTAATTAATAAACTTGCACGGCGACATTCACCGTTCAATTAGACAATCAGTTACACTCCAATCCAAATTTACTGAGCGATATTGAAAGAAGCGACAAAGAACGTATATGTAACACACAATTCCATTGTTAAATTAAATTTTCACACTTCCTTACATATTCTCGCGTGTTCTACTAACACTTAGTGACGATTAAACAATGAATAAAAAATCGTACAATGATTATTTCATCTCATATTAATCTTATCAGCTAATTAATAGATCATTAATTGTTGCGCTGAGGCAAATAACAACACCACGTGATAGCGCGCTTGATTAAGGTGACTATTGTCGACATAATATATACCCGAAAAGCTTTCTCTCCGCGATGTAACGGACAATTCGCAAGCCGTGTGCGCACACTCTACGACGGAGAAGGAAATGGGCACTTTGCATTCACAGGGTACGATGGCTCAAGTGAATTAACATAATCGGGGAGAGGAGGGAGAAAAGAGCATAAGCTTACGCGAGAGCACACACGCACGTAGTGAAGATTTATAACAGTAGAGACGACTTCGCTGCCAGACGAAAAAGAGCTGCACGTGTGTGTGCGTGAAAAGCTCTCGTCTGTATGTAGTAGCGTACAAATGCACTTTGAGATCCATGTGTAGAGATCTAAGATCCTCGTCATATGTTTTCGCATTCCACTCAAGTTCGTGAGAGGATTGGAACTTTATTTTATACGCTTATACGCGGAGCCTCCGGCGAAAGAATACAAACTCACACGCGGAAAAAGCTTGATGTGTCAGGGTCTTAAAGATCTTATGTTTAGAAGCTTAATTAGGATTATGTGACGTAATAGATTGGAGCTGGCAGTATTGGTGTACTCAACTACTGAGAAACTCAAAAGTATTGCGCATAGTTCTGTCTGTAATTTACTAAGCGGTTCAACATCCATCCGCGTATATCTCTTTGCTTTTTTCTCTGGTTCTATGTTTTTATAAAGTCTTGTAAAAACATATAATAAAATAATTCTGTCAAAATATATTATTATTTAACAACAATTCTAGAAATTACCTCTTTCAACGTTTTAAAAATAAACGCTTTAAAAGTAAAATAAAAAAAATAAAAAAAGATGATAATACCACAATTTTTATAAATGTCTATTAAAAACAAATTAAATAATAAAAATAATTGGAGAGCAAATACTACGTTAAAAAAATAATTGTTCATATTTAATATCTCTTATCAATTATTCGAATTATTCGAATATCCAAAACCGAAAAACTCGAGCGACTCTGCCGGCTCCAGTGTCACGACGCACTCAAACGCATCTGTGCCGATACACATTTTGAAGGTACTTATCTCGCATTCGAAACTTAACAACATTTCTTCTTATCTTTAACAACAACAGTAACAACATATTTTCTTTTGATAGTAATGTATTTTCTCTTAAAACTCTCCGGATGTGACGAGAAGATTCGTCTCACAACTCACTCATGCACGCATATCGCACGATAATTAGTACGAATAATCGATGAGTTTTCAAGAGAAATTGTAATGAGAAGCGGAATTGTTCGTGAGTGTCCCAACGATTTTTTTGTGCAGACCATCGAAACATGCTCCGAGTTTCATTTGACCGTGTACAATTTGACGTGCATTGCAAGCCTAGAAAATATCATTTATAAAAAATAGTAGAAAGCAAATTTTAACTCAAAAAAATATTTATATATTATTATATAAGTGTCGCATGTAGAAAAATATCTTCAATCTTCTAACAAATATAAAGTAATTAGTAAAATTTTGTAAATTTGTCGCGCACATAATGATGTGGGTACATATTCTTATTACATTATAAAAATTTATTGTTTCTTTACGACCTGCAATGCACTTTATAGCTCGTACGAATCAATGCAATTATATGTACAGCAATGTAAGTTTTAAAACCTTAATCCCTAATTCTTTCTGATGCACCCGTAAAGCTTGACTTCACTCGAGGAGGTTTGTTCGTTATCTCGAGTTATCGTCATCTGTTGCGGATTGCCAGGACGTCAAATCTAAAATGACGACGTTTTGTCCGTTCTCAAGAATATTAAACATTTGTACGTTCTCCAAAAATTTATATTTGAGATGCACATATATATCTGTACGAATAATATGTACTTTGTGTTATTGATTAATCACTGCATGTTCAACATAAAATCGCAATTTTAGGCACCGGTCATAATTGTAAATAGAAAAAACATTTCACATTCGCCAAATTCTGTGTGTTGGATCTTTTTGATTTACAACGTTCATGTTGTTTTTTATCTGTGTTTTTCTTTAATTGAAAATTTTATGTTTACAATCTCTTTACTTTCTCTTCCTACGATTTCGCATAAATCGAGTCCTGACACTCCGCGATACGCGCATTGTACCTCAATTTACCCTCTCATTTATATTTAAATATTACTTTGTGTTTGAGCATATTATATTCTCAAAGTAAATTTTTCTTTAGAATATTTCATTGTGTCTTAACTATATTAAATACATATACGTCATATACTATATTTATATATATATATATATATGTATATATATAGTGACTCATTTATACTAATTTTATCCAACATACATGCTTATGGGAATCATGTTATATCTCATATGATACACATTGACAATTTTCCACCAAGATATCGACTAACTTTTTGAGGTTTTGGATTTTTCCGCAACGCATCACCATAGGTATTCGATTTTTAAATATCCTTAATTTTCGAAACTGGCATAAATTTGTAGAAAGTTAAACGCGTCTATTTTAAAAGGTTTAGAATTTCATAACTATCTATTGCATTTTCTGTTGTGCTTCAAAGCACACGCTATCTTTTTGCGAGTTGCCGTGGTTCCATCTGTCACATAAGTTTTTTTATTAAAATCTTTTCTTATACCGATAGTTATTCCAAATACTCTTATGAATTTTAAACTAAACACAAAGATACACATAACAATTTACACAAACATTTTTATTATGTACAAATGTTATAAAATGAGAGTAAATATTTATATATAAAATAATAAATAACTAACAATAATATAAAACATAAATAACAAAGAAAAAATTGATTAAAATAATTCTCTTTAAAACACTTTTGGCAGTGAAACGGGTAGTCAACAAAAATGGTCAAAATATATATTAAACAGAAATGTAAAAACATGTAAAGTGTTAAGAAAAATCTGAGTAAAATAAATAAAAAAAAGTTTCTCATGGATGTGCAATGCCCTAATTGCACGTGGTTGCTTTTGCGGAAATTCCATTTAAAAATACCCGTATAGAATATAATACTTATTTTTCATTTTCTTAGAAATGTTTTTTCTACTAATGATCGATTTGTAATTATGATAATGCATGAAACTTTGGCAGAAAAAAAAAATTTAATGAAAATTGCCTCGATGAGATAATCGTATCTCGAAGTATTCCAAAAAGATTTTAACTTTTAATTTGCTTTTATTGAATTAGGGCATCAATCATACTTCAAGACACCTAATCGATTATTACTCCAGGATCTATAATTGCGAGCCATATACAGTACGCGACAACAAATTGTTTCCATTGTGAGAAAAAAAGATAATTCTCTTTTTTTTGGCAAAATCAATTCATCGCCGCACACTGCACAGACAATGTTAGGCACAGGTTGAAATTTCGAAAAAAATTTTTTTCTTTTGCTTAACTACACGAAGTGTGTACGCTTCGGTATCGACATGACACGATATCTGATCGTCGATTATGCGTTAAAAATCAAATTCAAAGAGATTTGGTACGCTAATGAGTGTCTTCTCGAGCATTATGTAGATTTAACAGTTCTTGCGGTGGGTTTTGAAAAAACAGTTTTTCTTCACAGTAATCAATATGCGAATACAAGAGATAACTTCTTTTTCGAGTATCACTTATAATCCAAAGGACATAAAACATACATTTCTCGGGAGTGTGACACACATTTTCAAAACAAATGCACTTTCTCTTGTATCAGAAACATCTTCGAGTCGCAGTTTCTTGACTCTCGATCGTTGACAGATCATACGGATGTTTCTTTTTTTTCTGTCGCCGTAATGCAGTCGCGCGCACGCTACGACACTCTCCAAAGATCGATATCAGCAAATCAGCCGAACGAGAGGTTGACGTAGATGGGGCTCGTTGTTTGAGGCAGGAGCAACAGGAGACGCGAATTTCTAAATTTCGCGTTGTTTTACTGGAGTCTTCAAGGGGCCAGTCAGTACGTCCCAGGGCGCTTCCGCTTCCGGCGTTGCACGACTGGGCGACTGAAGCCGATCCTTTTACGATCACAGAACTGTTTCCATTTCGGCAATTTCCGTCCTAGTTGTGTCCTCATCCGGGATTCTAGAAAAAAACGTAGTAAAAACGCTTTTGAACTAATTCGAGACATTTCCGAGAGAGATATAGCAAACGATCGCGTGATAGAAGACTAACGATAAGAAGGCAACACGTACCTATGACGCAAAATAACTTTAAATAAAGCGAAATCTTTGTACTTACAATCTTCACGTTAAAGTAACATATGGAAATTGCGCATATAAAATTAATTACATATTACATGCAAACATGTGCTTTCTTTGTTTTCAGAAAAAATTGTACATATAGGTATAAATAAATAATCTATGATTATATATAATATAATATGATATTAACAAAAGTATGTAAAAATTTTTTTAATTTTAAGAACAAAAAAACAGCCGTAATATAATTCAAAATGGTGAAATAGACCTTCCAGCTAAGAAACCAAGGTTGAGGTGGCTTAAATAAAATCAAATTGAATCCAAAACGGAGATCAGAGGAACGTTTTTGTTCCGTCCAGTGAGGCTGATGATGATTTAAAAAATAAAGATCGAAACGTTCCTCTGATCTCCGTTTTGGATTCAATTTGATTTTATTTAAGCCACCTCAATCTTGGTTTCTTAGCTGGAAGGTCTATTTCACCAGTTTTTAATTTTATCTCTTTAAACTACTTTATACTCAAGTTACAAATTTAAAAAAGTTGTTTGTTCTCTCAATACCGCGTTCTTTATTCTCACCTGTAAATCTCTGTGGGTAAAAACGTTTCGGCGTATTCATTGCTGACCACGTGATTCCTGCTCATATCTCTCGGACGAGCGACCTCGACAGCATCAATGTACCTGAATATATAAAAGATCGAAAATTATGTCATCGCCATCGTAATGTCGCGAAAGTTGTCTCCTACACGTAAAGTAAATATTCGATCATGCTCTCCGTCTCTGTCTTTCTCACTTATCGTCTCTCACGACCCCTTCTCAATATTCCCACATCTCGAGAATTAATTTTCTCCGCGCGTCACATCGTCGTCTCGCTGTCGTCGTCATCATCATAGGTAATTAATCGATTATTCGCTACCACAAGCCACCGCAGGTAATTATCTATGATGTGCACCGTAGGCGACGACGCGCCTAGATTGCCCAGCGATTTCCTTCCATAAACTCGCACATGCCATGCTCTCGAGCATTCCATTTAAAATAAAAAAAAATCCGTGATAATAAGAACGAACGATACGAAAGTGTGTGCGAAACGACAGATATTTAATGCTTATAACTCTTATATGTGCAAACGATCTACTGATCTACAAAAGCAAAGCAGCTATTTTCTACTAGTTTGTAAATCTACTAGTCCCTTGTTATTCTTCCTAATTGGTCTCTCTAGGCGAAGTCTGACCCTTCATCGATCTGCGCGATTGCGTTTCTTTTGTTTTTTTCCCACGTTTCCTTTTATTCTTTATTATTGAATTCAGAAGGAAAAGGAAGAAAGAGAAACAAAAGTCACACGCAAGTTTGCGAAATAAAACAAGAGCCTCGCGGAGAATCACGCGATTCGTGTCAAAGTGTCAATGATAAAATAGAGTGTTTTTTCTACACCGATTATAGAGTGACGTAGGAACGGTAGTAAATTGCGTACATGTAATTATGTAAAGTTTCAGAGTGTGCCTTATACTTTATGTTAAAAAGTACCCCTCGAAAAAGCAATGCATTGGTTTGGCAACGCGATATATATCCCACAAGAGAGAAGTTTCTGATCGGTTGAAAAAATAACAGCTCATAGGCATGATAGCAAGAAGTAGCGATAGAAACAACATATATTGAAGAATAGTTTTGTGTATCTGTGTCAAATGTGCGTATGTTGTCAATCGTAAGAAAGTTTTTTTTGAAAATTCTAAATATATATGTTAAAAATGTGAAAATATATCAAAGACTTATTTTGTCAAGAATATCAAAGAAGAATTATATTTTTTGACGATAGTTCCTACGTCACTGAACATTCTTACGTGTGAGTTGGCGTTGCGGACTTACGAATCGAAGTATGGCGGTAGCGGATGCGGAACTTCCACCGCCAATGGTTCCGGTTGTGAATGGCGGTCCGAGCTTTGGAAGCATCTTTGCCACCAGCCGAGACTTCCGGTTTTCCTCCTTTAAAAAAGCCGACGTGGATATGTGCCAGGCTTCCTTCTCACCGTCGAACCACCAATTATCGCTTAACATGGCCCAGATATAAACCCCCTTCCCCAGTTCGCCCGAGGCGACACATATAACACTCTTTCTTTCATTTAACGCGACATACTGACAGATTCATTTGTCACGAGAAAAATCCGAACATTTCCCAATTATCTATGCAGTGAGCATGTGATGCCACAGACGGACAATAGAGAAGAAATTAAGTGCGTGTGCTAATAATCGATACGTTATTAACATACGTACGTAAGCGTAAATATATACACGATGTATGTACATATTATCGAAAATAAATATTGAACTGTAACAAGATGTGCGTTCTCATACCAGGATCTTTATGTAATATCTTTCTTATGTTACATACTTCTCCTTTGTTACAGAGAATAGATTTTGTTTTGCAGTGTGTGTGCGTGCGTAAAAGATCATATAATAACATTAAAAGTTGTATTCTAATAAAAACTGTTTTATTGGATTAATATTTGTTATGTAAAAATATATAATAATACATATAATAAAATACATAAAATCAGTTTTATATTATATAAATATGTTATATAATATTTTTTAAATTAAATAATTCCCGTTTTTTTTAATAACGATAATAGTTTTATATACTATTAGTGTATATATATGTATATGCAAACATATTATTATTTAATATTAGATTATTATATATATATATATAATTAATAGTACGGTTTAATCAAATTTCAAAAAAAGATTTTGTCTGGAAAAAGATACACATATTTAAGCGTGATATAATTCATATGAAATGCTAAAAAACACTAAAATATGTCGATACACATTAAACTCCCCGTCGAAAACGCACACAGATTCTATAGATTAGAAGGCAGGTGCATGCTGTACCTATGCGAGCAAGATTCAAAGTGACTTTAGAAAGTAGGTTATTACTTAAGCTCGGTCTGCGAATCATATTCGCGTCCCTCGGAACGTACAGTTTTGATGTTATCGTGACAATGATTGTCGCAGTGATTAAATTTTATCGCGGAGATTTGCGTAGAAAACCGAGCATAAGTTTAAAAATTACAAAAAACAGGTGTAGAATAAATGTGCAACTGCATGCGTAGACTTTTATTACGGATCCACTTCCGCTTTGCAAAGTAACTTCCGGAGGAAGAACGTAGAGAAGGGTAAAAAGAGTGAAGAGACTCAAAAGAAAGCTTTCTAGAACAAAAGCTTCCAATTTCGAGGATGAAACACAAGCGACAGCACTCTGCGGATAATATCATTTGGAAAGCATAATCCAGAAAGAAATAATAGAATGCATAATTCCGGCGGTTTTTCTAATGTCGTTTTTTCCCATAATTCATAATATTTGTGCTCTATAAATAATAGATCAATTAATCTTTTAATGTTGATTGCGATGTTATGATTATTGTTGATTGTTAACACATATATATAAATAGATTTATAAAAGTTAATATGTAGCTATTTAAAAAATGTATTTTTCTTTTATGTTATTTCTAATGACTGTTATCATTTTATATCGTTTTGATAGAAATTTCATTTTGTTATAAAGTGCAAAAGTTTGTCGTATTACTAAACTTTTATAAACAAAACTTAAAATTAAATTTAATAGAGAAATTAATTTAACTGTTATTGTATTGAAATTCGATAACGAAGTATTGCAATTACATTACATATGTGCATTATTAATTCACTATACTTTCAATTGCATAGTGTGTGTATGCTCGAGATAAGAGCAACATTTTTTACGTAATAACGCACATTTATTTTATCACGTTTTAATTTTAGCGAAATCCGACATTAAAAGATTAAATTATATCGGAAAACACCCCAATCCGTCGCAAGGATATTCGACGCAAATTTAGAGAATAAATTGCTTCGAAATTTGCGCGAATTCTGTCTTTTTCAATAAAACGGAATAAACTCAGACTCGATTAAAACGGAATTGGCTCAAGAGGGAACGACGCCTCATCGGATATTAAGCGATCGAGCACGAAGCTAATCGAATAGCGCGGCTGATCAGAGGACAATCCTCTGTCTTTGTATAAACCGTGCGATTCGGTCTGATCAAGTCGGCTCCTTGCTCGATCGCATTGCAAATACCCGGCGCAGTCGAGTACTTTCCTAGCTTAATACGGAATTAGACGGTATTAGGACAAAGATGGAACGTACTTGGTTTGAGTCGGCTTTATTCCGTGAGCTTCGAGATCCTTCTCTAGCTGCCGTATCCTGATCTTGGCCATGTCGAGCTCATACTTGACCTTCCACAAGCGGGTGTCGCAGATTGGGTCCTTGCATCTGTGGTGCCTCAGGATATCCTGTGCCTCATACACTGCGCCACGAAAGGTCAAGGACTTCCCCACGCTCTTTAAATTAAAAATATTTCGTGCGTGTTTTTATTATCCGCAAGTTTCTTTTTCGATGCATTCTTATTTCTTATATGCGTAAAATTTGATCATATAAGCGAACAATTTATAATTACTTTTGATAACAGCAAAATAAAAGTGTGCATTTAAACTTTTCACAATGCTTGTAAATAATTTCGAAAAATACTTTCACGTTTTACAGTCATATCTTATGATCTTTTTTGTTCTCTAAATCACTTCAAAAGCACACTGCTATAATTTATGTTTTTTTTTTTTTTACAATACTTTTTACTTACATAATAAGTAAAGCTTTGTTTATATAAAAGTACACGCTCTTTGTTGTTATCGAAAAATGATTTGATTTCAGTTTCTTGATGAAGAAGTATATTGTTAATATTTAAAAATCCGTCGTACTTTGTACATGGCCTTAATAATAAAGATAAGAATGACCCAGTTCCAGAGATAGCGTAGGAAATTACAACGAGATTCTCGCGATATTAAAATCCGCGCTTACCAGGCTGAAAATAGCGCACGTGCCACCGTCGTCGCTTTTTGCCAGGTGCTGCCTGATATATTTAAAGTATACATGTTCCAGAAGTAGGAAGACTGCCGCCAGGAGAATACCCATCATCAACAAAAGAAACGCGCTCAAGAACTGTTCCAATGCGAGTGGATCGCTACTCTTTTGTACTTCTTTCCCGGGTTTACACGTTCCGGTCATCCAATATCTTCTCAATCGCTCGAGATCTCCTAAAAAGAATGATGAAACGACGTAGAGAAATACGAATATAATGGATCCATCAAATAAAATTCATGGATCCATATAATGTAAGCGTTGTAAAAAACTTTCAACTTCATACGCGGAAATATATTTTTCACGACTTTTAAATAAACTTGCGGAACATTAAAAAAAGTACCGTTATCTCTATAATCCAATAGCCGTTTGTTGAACATTTGTAGGTACTTTGAGTTTCTGGAGAACGCGAGACCGTAGCCGGTCATAGCGTACCATGACCCGACCGTTAGCAATCGACAATCCTCGTCTTGCGCGACCAAATAATCCAGAACCGTGCCGTCATAAATGAAGGCATCCATTTCTCTGCAGAAGTTATAATAAGATTACTCTTATATTTCGGTTTTTTTCCGTGAAAGATATTTCAATCGACATTAAGAAAATCCTAAAGTCCTGTTTTGACTGATCGAATTTGCGGCTTTTGGCCGTTATTTTGTAGTAATATTTGTTTAAATAAAAAAAGTGATGCAATTTATACGCAGAAAATAAACTGTATCTCGGAACAACGTAAAGAACAATAAGGAGCTCTTAGAAATGCATTTCCAAGTTTAGTGTAAATGAATAGTGCGCTGTAATATTTACGAAAGCGATCCTGTATACTTTCAACACACTCTATTCATTTACACTAAACTTCTAAACTAATTTATGAGAACTCTATATTATTCTTTATGTTATCCCGCAGTTCGGGATGCAGTTTGTTTTCTACGTATAAACTGCACAACTTTTTATATTAAGCAAATATTACTACGAACTGACACCTCAAAAGTCGACTCAGTCGCTACAAAAATACGCGATTCACTTTAGAATCTCCTTAATTAGGTTTTTTGAAACAAAATTAATGTTACAAAACTTCGTTATTTTTTTTATATATATATTATAATACTGCGACATTAAATTATAAAATATCTTATTTTGCGAAGATAGACAAGTTTCTATTATATCTATTTTTACTAAATTTTCATTACGTTATCTAGTGGAAATAGTTTTGCTCACTCACAATAAAAAACTAAAGAAGAATTTTGTTTTACTTTAAAAAATTCATTACACATTAAATCTGCGCGCTAATAATTCTAAATAATCTTCCGGAAAAGAAATCAATAAATTAAAGAAGATGCTCGGTTACTCACCCAGTGATGACAGCTTCGATACCTTCCGCCACGCTGCTCTTGTTAAAGGCCCTCATGTAAGAGTGCATCTCCTTGAAGTATTTTGCTAATGTGCTGTCCGTGTGACTCCACGGTATAGTGCCGAATTTGAACATGGGCTTGTGCGAAAACGGTTTAGCGAGTCTGTGATCGTCCACACCGGTGAACTCGTGAAACTCTTCCCGCGTGATCATAAAGGCAGCCAGATTGGCAGTGTAAATGGCGAGGAACACCACGGCGAATAATGCCCAGACGTTCGTCATAAATCTACGTAGATATCGTATCGAGTTTTCATTAGCAAAATAATCAAAAAACATATTTCGATCGTACGTTCGAGTAAATCGGATTAACATACGAGTTCCTCATATGATTAACACAAAACGCATACGATAATTTGATTATCTAATGATTTTTTGCAATCGTCAGGAAACCGAGTTTTCCAGTGTGGACGATCACAAGGACGATCAATTCGCTTATGAGACCGAATCCTCCTTTATATTATAACAAACATGTTGCGCGTGACGATCATATTGTGAAATTTATGAATAACAACTTTGTGAAATAAAATCCTGATGTGAATTCAAAACACTCCGCGCAAAACATTGTATGCAAATGTAAACAAATCCAACTTGTGTTACTTTTAACGAATTGAGTTCGTTTAAGTGATTTACACAAATACAAATTTACATTCGAAACGCATGTCACCAAAGTGCATAACTTGGATATGTCAGATAAATGTAAATTGCGATGGACGATTCATAAGCAGTCGGAGTAATTTACATTTTAAAACGGTTGTCGGGCGAGCGCGGATGTTTGCTCAAGAACATTTTCCCCACATTTATGCACGCCGACCGATCTCGGATGAGTAGGTGAAGAGGCGGAAAACTAATTTGTCGAGTTCTATCTCAGCTCGGTAATTAAAATTCGTCGGTGAAGCGACGTCCCTTGGTAAAGGGATCCTTTTCACTGACCTGGCTGTAAATCCTCTGGGAGAATCGATATGGACGGCAGCCTGAAATAATACGGCCCAGACCAGCCAGTACGTGCGGCAAAAGGAAAACCGGTGGTTCGTTGATGGATTTTTCTGCAGAAATAAAATACACTTGAAATAGACGTCGCATTATCCCAACAAAAGATATATTTCAAAGGTACACCAGCATGAGCAAATCTTCAAACTACTTATGTGCAAACAGATTTTGAAAAATTACATTAAAAAAATATCATTATATGCGTCTTGTTGCTTTTCTACTAAAAAAAAATTTAACTTTAAAATAATATACGAGTAGTTGTGGAAAAACATTTATTTGTTTCAATTTAAATAACGTCGTTTGTGAACAGAATAAATAGTTCAAATAAAAAGTACACGTTTCGAAAATGAGAATTATATGTAAATTGCGTGCAACAAATAATCATAATGCTAAAGAGAAAGTATGATAAATTGTAACAATCTACATGAATGATAAATAAAATTTCAAAAACAAATGTTTACAAAATCTTTTAGTAATTACAGTTCGTGTATACATTTTGATTATTTACAAGCAATAACTGCAAATATAAGATAAAAATGGAATTACATATTCTACAAAACACATATTGTTTTCCTCTTTATCTTTTATGATACATGTTGAAGCATGCATTAACATTAAGCTATCTCATACATAATTTAAAGAGATTATGAGATACCATAACTGTGCATTAAAAAGGTAAAGGTGCAGTAAAGTAGAAAACATATATAGTTCATAAAAAGCGAAATAAAAGATACCAGGTTTTGCGCAGCGCCTGAAGGGTTTACCTTCATGTCGAAACCGGAAGGTGATGCCCACTCAAAAAACAGTATCATTACTGTCGCTGCATGTATAGCGACAATACCCACCAGCATCCACGATGCAGTGTCAAACGGTTCTGTAAATTGCATCATTAAATGTTATAATGGCTTATTTTACTTCAACAGTGAACGTCTATTGTGTATTTTTCCGTGACACAATATATTTGCTTTTATAAACAATATATGTCAATATTTTATGCATGTATTCACTCTAGTAAATGTAAGTTCATTATTATTAATGCAAGAGAAAAATAAAATAACGTGATATTATTTTATTGCAATACATTATTAGTAATCCGAAAATACACTAACGATATTTTGGTGTGTAATCTATATAATGTATTTTCTCACCTAGAAACGCGGTGGGTGAAATTATTCCTGTTCTTTTTGCTACAACAATGGCTATACCAGTTTCCATGTAAGGAATAGTAAAATCAACCACCGCTTCCCTTTCCGAATTGATCATTAAAGAGGTCATCACCATGTCGGTCTTCCGGTTGACCAGATCAGCTATAAGACCGTTCCATTTTCCATTCTACGCACAATAACCGCACCATTTGTTAATAATAAATAAGTCAAACGCAGAGGATTTTATTATTTTTTAAATTTCATCAAAAAATCTAAATTTTATATATAACATCTCTTCTCTTTCCCTCCTCTCTCTCTCTCTCTCTCTCTCTCTCTCTCTGCAGACTGTAATTTCTGTGTAAAAAAATAAGTTTATGATGCACTAAATAAAAATAAAAGTAATTTTGAATGGTATTTTTCAAATTGCGATGTTAATGATTGTAATTTTATTATGTCTCGGAGAGATAAACGTCCAGAGCGATGATGCGATGACGCGATTAGAGCGAGCGATAAGCGGAAAATTATCCGTTTTTAGGCCATTGTCACTCAAGCGTGGACATACGTCTATATAGTCGGAAACAACTTTTGTGCAGCGGAAATTAAACGTGTTGAATGCGTATTCATGCGTGCATTTCCACAATAATAGTCATCAGTACTTGGGTCAACGAAAAGATCTTGTGGAAAGCTATTATCGTCACATGATTCGAATTTTATATTATAGATACAGAGATTCCCTTCAAATCGATAAGCTTACCCCCCGGTAGTAGAGAGCTCTTTTACTATTTTTTTCACTCTCACTTTTATCTCATTCGGATATATTTTTTTTTTATAGTCAACAAATTTATCAAATATGAAAACTTGTGTGAAACAATTGCTCATGTCTGAGCGTCAGGTTTTGCTGGCGCAATACAGTTGCCTGCCAGAAAACATGCGGAGAAATAAAAATTTTAACTGTTCAAAAGAAAAAGACAATCGCGATCGCGTAGTAGATGCGGCAAATGTTACGCGAGAATTTTCCTCCCGTTGCATTTACAAGACACATTCGTCTTCCGCGCGACGTAAGTAAACATCGCCTTTCATGAATTTCATGTGTTGGACTTACCTCTAAAGTACCCCACTTGCCATCCTCCACCCTCACGAGCTCGTAAGTGAAGCCGATTTCCTCCGAAAACTTCTGCAGCAGATCGATACAAAATCCGCTACAGCACTGATAAAAGCTTTCATTCTTCAGTGCCGATGCAATATCCAATCTGCAACAAACCGAGTTGTTCGTAAATTGGAGAATTCACATCCGCGATATCCGCTTGTGTGTATACTCGTAAACAAATAAAAGATTATTGAAATCGCGAGGAATATTTGCTGTCGAATACGAAGTTTATATACGTATTATGTAACTTTGTGTTGCGCTTTAGAAGATGCAAGATAAATTATTTTAAAGAGAGAGAGAGAGATGTAAAAAAAAAATAGATACGTGAAAAAATAAATATGATAATGAAGACGTTGTGTAAATCAACATTAATATACTGTGACCTAAAATTACTATGTAATTAATTTGCTAAAAATAACGTAGAGAAGAGCTCATTTTTTAACGTAATATCGCGCTGCTCTTATCTAAAAATTTTCATGGTGCAAGACTCACGATGAAAGAAATTCTTCTTTCAATTCTAGACCACATTCCTACTTTAAAACATAAAATAATATATTCAGCAAAGCCACAGCTGTGGCGTCATATTCTTGAAGAAGCAAAACATTCCTAAAGTTAGACTAATGCACTAATGAGATATCTTGGCAAAGTTTTCCATTTCAGTGTCCTGATTTTCTACCTCGAGAATTTTTGCATTTCGTTTCTTCTGCGCGATCCTGCGCGGTCAGCTCTTTTTATTTTTTCCCCGATATATAAGCAAGGTGCAATTAAATCTACCGCGAGACTGGCGACCCGCACCATTCGAGCCAAATGTCGTCGTGCCAAGAACTGACAGCCATTGTTAGACGTTCTTTGGAAGAAATCGCTCTTCTCGAAATGAAGTCCTTTCATACATCTGACATGCACAGCTAACAAGATTTGCTTTGAAAGTAACATTAAATTCTTTTGTGTACAAAGTCTAAATCATAATTAATGTTACAAAAAGAGCGCAATGTTATTAAGCCATAGTACAAAGAATGTAAAAATAAGAGACGAAGGACAAGTACATTAAGGCTAAATGGTTTGCAGTGACTTCTGTAGAACGAAATATTTTACACTAAATTCGAAATTCATCTAAAGTAGTGAAAGACTTTTTATACTTTAATAATTTCTTAAGTTTGTGTTATTGTTACATAAAAACAAATTTCAAGTATATAAAATTCATATATAATATTAATAAAATATGAAAATTAAATATACTTATTGAGTACTTAAATATTATATAATGTATAAAATGTCTGTTAGCAGGATATACATATATTTCTCAATATTAAATTGTTTCAATTGGCAATAACAAATAATAGTTGTTTCAACGAACAATTGTTCTAACGTATTTTATTTGCTGTCGAACAAATGTAACATTATCTCTATAATAGCCGATTAAAAGTTTGGCCGGCGCGAAGCTTCAATTTAAAGATAACAAGCTTCATTTAGCTTGATGGTCGGAAGTAAAATGAATTTAACTTTTGTTTCTTCTCTCTTTTTCACAGCATCTATCTAGTATACTCTAATCTACTTTAACATATATTATATATATATATATATATATATATATATATATATATATATATATATATATATATATATATATATATATATATATATATATATATATACATATATATATTTATACATGTGTTGTGTATACATAAAAAAATATGCGTTTTATTAAAATTTTTTATTAACATTTAAAAAAAGAAAATGTACACGTTATTTGCAAAAAGTTTACACAAAAATATTCTATACAGTTTTAGTTATTAACAAATTTGCAATACTATATATTTTTATTGTTATTGATTATAAAACTATAATGATGTCAACTGCTGATGTTATGTTATCGATAAAAACGCGAGTAAACTATTTTTTGAAAAGAAAAAAAAACTGAAAAATATCTTTTTATCAATACCGGCACACATTCGGTAGATTCTTTTATTGCTTGTGATATCGATTACACAATTTTTTATTGACGCGTTGATATGTACGCGATATGAAAAATATCGGATTTCAATATTTGTGACGAAATTCGGTATTTTGTGTCAGTGAGTGCTTCTTTTTTATATTATAGTCCCAAAGTTTTAAAAAAAATCAAAAATAACATATTTTGCTACAACGCATACGTACATAAATAATTTGTAATATGTATACGTAGGTTTGTTTTTTCATAGATATATATCAAATATAACATTATTATACAAAAGTTAGTTGTTAGAAAGAATTAGTTGAATATGACGTAAGAGAACGGGTATGTCTGAGCGTAACTTTACTCTATCTACTCGTATCAATCAATTGTGCAATAAAGCGCGACCTTTTTGTCATAAACAAAATTATTTTTCAAGGGGGAAAAGAAACATAAAGACGATGTTGCACGAGATAATAAAGTAAATAGAGAAGGCATATATATTTCGTGACTAAGCAGAAAGGTCCCGATGGAAACGCATGTCCGGAATTGGCGGTGATAAAATCGAATACATATTCGTAGGTCAACTCTGGCAACGATACCCAGAAAAGTATCATGGCAAAGACACTGCTATAAAGAGTCCCATAGTGACATTTATTGCTTCTCGCAATGGTACGATCACGTAAAAGACGCTCACACTTTTAAACGCGCGCCTTCTGTTGCTACTGAGAAAAATGTACGGTCGCATTAAAAGGGAGAAGTTCACGCTCGTAATGCTTTCGACTCCTCGGTTGTAATCGTGCAATATGCGCGTATATGCGTCAGGAAAAGAGACTTTGATGTTATCTTCCGAAGCCAATATTCTTAAAGAAACTTTGCCACAATTTCTAATGTAACACAATACGCATTTTTTTTTCTTTTTTTTTAAACAATTGTTTATATGTAAAATAAATATAATTTTATACTAGATGTTATGCTTAGTGCTTGTGTGAAAACTCTGTTATTTATAATATTCTTAACCAGAGTTCTGTTTTTATAAATTAAATTGTATATTTTACTATTTGAACGCAAATGTATTATCTTCAACATTTTATTTATTAATTTATTATCTTCAATAAACGTTGATATATGTATATATGTAATTGTGTTTATGCAATAATATATAGTTATATATTGTTTAGATAAGTATAAATTATATTTAGTAGTGTATATAAATTATATTTTTTTATATACTTGATAGATTTAACTTTTATTATTGATTGCTTTTATTATTTTAAAACAAACATTATATTGAAGCTCGCGTTCATATTTATACGCACGTAATGCATGCTGGGGCGTGATAAAGGTTCTACTGTCTGAACTGTTTACGACTTTCTACAGCCAAAATCAATAAAGCTATTCGTCTAAACTTTCCTATTGTTTTGATCAGCGATTTTAATGAAAATATACGACCGTTAATTTATGTAATAAATATGTTGAATAAGAAAAATACAAAAAATATAAAAAATTGTTTTTTCCGCTTTTTCAAAGTTGTTTTTGAAAGTAATTAGAGCATACTTAAAGTTAATATATTTTTGCACAATAATACAATCGATTTTTCGATAAATTTCAAATTATGCGTGTAAAAAACCCGAGCTACTCGACCGCAAAAACAAACGCATATTCTCGACTTTCATTCTTCAGGCAGATGACATATGAAACTCCTCTTGCCACTTGACAATAATGGAGAGCACTCAAAGTCATGGACACGGTTTGTCTGACAATACCACGCTACTACTACTGCAATCGAGTAAAATATGTTAAAACGTGTGTGTTTTGTAAAACGACGTTCCATTTTATTCGCGAATTTTACAGAACAGAAGTAATATCAATCGGCACGAGAACTCTGACGTTGACATTTTCAGAGAAACAAAACATGCCAGGACTTTCGTGACTATTTGAAAATTCTTTTCGCAATGCGAAAAAAAAACGAGCGACTCTCGGATGTTGTTTCTGATGCTCGTTAGCTATCAATGTATGGCCATAAATGCCGCAGAAATGCACTTTAAATCTCTATTGTGGATCAACCTAACGACAGTGATTTGTCACGACGAACAGCCAGTTATCGCGCAGATCCATTCTGCCACTTATCAGAAACATGAAAAATGAACGGTGGCTCTTTGCGTAACATATTGTGGTCGCTTGGCGCCTGACAAATAAATCGTTTCCGAAAGATTAAGCGGTTACTATTGCCACGAAGGATACACGTTTTCACGATTAACTCTTTTTATTTTAAGAAATCCGTTCCCTCTCTCCGTGAAAAATATGTTATTATTCATAAAAATCCTATCTTGTGTGTACACGTTCTTTATCCATAATTTAAAAATTATAATGAGAATATTTTAATTGATAATTTCACACTCAATGATTATAAGTTCCAATATATGAAACTAATTGATTCTCAAGAAAATTATTTTACATTTCCTTAGCTATGCGTTTTGTAATTCATTGCATTTTTTCAACGGTCTTTGTCAAGCGTGTTAACTTTAAGAAAAGCAAATTTTTCCTTTGTACACGGGAAATAGAAAGTTGAATTACAAAGGGTAGTTTAACTACAAAGAGAGGTCGTTATCTTCGAAAAGCATTACACACACAAGTGTTCTCCACGCTGCTTCTTATCGATACGCCGCTTGCGCACCATCTAGCTCTTTTGTTCAGACATTCGGTTTCTTAACACGTTTGCGTGAACTTCCTAATATTTGTTAAATTAGCATGAGACAGTAATTGCTTAAGGATATTAATGTCGTTGCAAATTTCCGCTTTCTGCTCGCTAACGTCTTACGTGTTATCTCGTTATCGATTCGCGTTTCCATACTGTTTCTCTCCGGAAACGTCATTAGCCAAAGTGAGAGAACACGACTCAGTTACAAACTAACGAGGTATCTGATATGTGTGTAAGTATACACACGTAATGAAAGCTAGAAACACAATACTGTTTCGAATGCAATATTAATGCAATTAGAGTACATCTATTTACACTTACCTACGAACATTAACATTCCGTTGAAGTTGTACTTGTATCATTATTACAAGATAATTGCATTACAGAAAGTTTATAAGAGTTATTTTAATCTCTGTTCGTATTACTGTACAGTTTCTGTACGTGCATTCCATCAGTACGAAGACTCTCGTTGGTTTGCGGAATATTGAATCGTTGCTTATGATAGCTCATTAATTAGGTATGTTTCCTCCTTTTTCCGAATTCAATCAATCTAGCTATTTTAGTTCTACATATATTGCGTAGAAACAGAACTGCGTTACAGAACTCATTAAGTTTATTTATGAGAAGAAAACAAAAAGAGATATTCGAAGTATATACGCGTTATATATCCTACAGAATGTTTCCTATAACATGTAACTTTTTCGTGTTACAAGCGCACTTGTAACACGCAAAAGTAATAAAAACGTTCATACAAATACGAAGTTGCGGTGACAAATGTGTGTAAAAATAACTTTGATCTGTGTATATGCGTTTATAACTCGCGTAATGAATATTGAGATCAGATTTCCTGGAGTAAATTTGATTTCTCATCCATTAATATAATTCCTCCAGTTTCTGATCGTAGCGTTCCAAGCTAAGAAGATTTGCATTCTGCAAGAACGACCCCCATGTTCCACGTTTACATTCTCTTCTGTGTTCAAGATAAGAGCTCGGTCTTTGCCATTTGCAGATGCCTCAGCCGCTTTCCACCGATAAAGGACACCCCCGGTTAATTTAAACGAGATTTGCATATTAATACACGAGACGTTTGTAAGTTTCTGTTACACATTACAAATTCGTGGTCTATAAAGTCAGTGTGAAAAGTCTATGATTGATTATTGCAACAACGGACGAGAGAAACGACGAAAAACAAAATAAGCAACCAAACCAAGAGAATTGACAAAACTTCTTACAAGTTTTTAACAACTTATGCCCGATGAAAAAAGAAAAATACTATTAATACTCTTTTAATAATAATACGTATAGATATATATGTTGCACAGAGAGTGAAAAGAAAAACTTTTAGGTATAAAAAATTCCAATAAGCCAATTAAATCTTCAGGCAGACACACATTTTTCTCTGCCAAGAACAACCGCGATGAAACAGCATTTATTATCTCGTCACTCGCTTCAAGGCACTTGCTTAATTGGATGAGAATGTGATCTCCCGGTCGAGGAAAAATTAAAAACATAACATGGACAAATTGATATTCGTGCCGACGTTACATCATCGGCGAAGCGTTACGCTCCTGGCGTAATTTATTGCCAATTACTCCGCACCGTGCAATACGTTCTCTAGTTCCTTAGAACGCTACTACTCTGATTCGTTAAAGGAGAGTAACGTGCTACTCTTTACAAGCTGCGCACAATTAGCAATCAAGAAATTAGCCCCGTTCTCTTCGCGTTCCGACTGATGGAACGCAATTTTTATTTCTCATCAGCAGCAATTAGTTGCCTCTCGCTATACGTAAAAAGATAATGCAATGTGCATTTCCTACTAATGGTTTAATATTTTTAGCACTTTATGTACTTAGATATGCATCCCTCGTGCACGCGCAGCTATGTCTCGCAACGATGTTCATTAGCACAATTTATCAGATTAAAATGGAAAACGTTACTTAGTGAAATATCTATGTGTAAATTCAATTCTGTTCTGAAATAAAGAAACTTTAATACACGTGTTGTTATATTTCATGGATGAGAAATAATTTGCATATTTATAATAACTAAGGAAATTACGTTTAACGTAATCATTTGATACACTTGTATTTGAGCTTTTGATATCACACAGTTCTAATAATTAGTCAATTCTAAGGCAAAAGAGAGTGTGAGAGAGAGAGAAAGAGGGAGAGAGAGAGAGAAAATTTATTCAAAAAGAAAATAACGTCATTTTCAGGTTGACAGTTTTCAGAGCAGAGTTGCGTTGCGACTTGCCACAGAATTTTCAATTACATGTTTCTCGAAATACTCTTGCTTGAAGGAAACGCGCTGTACGTTAATTCCTTTTTGCTGTTTATCGAAGCGGACAAAGGCGCGTGTCCTACTTTAGTAATGCAGCCGTTCGTCAATTAAATTAGAATTAGTTATGACAAATAATTATAACAAACCAGTCTGTAATTCATTTATCATTTTATATAAAAAAAAAAAGTTTAATTTCTTTCAAGATAGAAATTTAATCTTAATGTTGAATTGTCAAATTATTAATATGATTTATATTTTGTAATAAGGTATAAAAAGTAAGCAAAAACATTATAAGCGCAATATGCGCAAAAAAGTTTTAAAATTAACAAATTTTATAAAGATTTATTCATACTGTAAAGTAAGTTCAAGTAAAATATAACGTCTCAGTTTAAACATAAATGTGTTATATATAGTTCCATGTTGCATGTAACTATTAATTTGCCGACTTTCTCATATTATACATTTCCTTCAAAATTCTTTTAAATAGGCGACTGACAACTATTGTGACATCGACAATTGAGGCAGAAAATCGACTTCACTACTTTTGTACTCTTCTCCGTAGTAATTTCCTGTAACGCTCGTTTACGCGAGTTGCGTTTCTCTTGAGGGAGAGGGGGTAGAGTTTCAATTACTTCTACACAGCTATTATCTCGCTGATGCCTCTGGGAAACTTCGTCGGAGAAGCTCTTTTCAAGATAAAGGATTCGGAATCTCGCAATCGTCAAAAACAAATACGCGTTAGATCGTTAACTTTTTCCCGCTCTCGCGCGTTTCGTGATTTTGCTTTGTATTCAAGTTTCTCACCCAAATAATACTTGATTAACATTCCGAGAAAAACATCGCGATTCCACGCACTTTAGAATTCAACTTGATGAAATTGCGAGTAATTTAGAAAAAATCAAACATATATATCGCTGAAAAATATTTGAAAATAAAAAATATGCTCAAATCAAGACGTGCAATTTGCTAAAATCGCTCGGATAAATATATCGTCATTTGTGATGCTGACAAACAGTTTGTTTTTCCTTTAACGTCTAAGTATAATGAGTTGTTAGTTCGATATTTTCTTGCTAAGAAAAAAAAAACAAACTCTGTAGAGTGGAGCCACTTTGCCTCGCGTTGTTTTCAGTAAAGTGTTGTATTGTTTTTATACGGAAATAGATTTTTGCGTGGACACTCGAGTTTACACTGAAAACGAGGCTTGCAACAGCTGTCGCATGCACTAAACCATAACAGGAATACAAGCTGGAAAGAGTTTTTAACGTATATTACCTGACCCCATTTTACGTAAATAAATACTGTTATATGCAGAAAACGTCTGCGCTGGAAGCTGCAACCCCAAACGATATCGATGATACTCCAAATTGGATAACGACGTCGAGAACATGCTCGATAAATTTCAACAATGTAACGCGTTTCACGTGAAGGTCGACACAACTAATTGATAAAAATAGCATCGTGTAAAACTGTTGAACAATGTATTTCGTTGTTACAAATGCGTAATAATAAAATAATAATTTGCACGCACTCATAGTAATGAAATATTTTGTTTAACAGTGTATATATATATATATATATATATATAATTGTTTTCTTACATATCTATCTACACAAACATTTCGTTAGATACGTCAAAATTCTGAGAAAGTACACGTGATCCTAAAGAGTTCATTGACAAAGGTGTACCGCAAAGTGCTTCTCAATGGACTCATTTACCACATGATAAATGTCATTACGTTATAAATGTCAACTCCTCGCTCTTGTAAAGCGCGAGAGAGTTAGCCCAACCTCGCTCGTCCAATGCTTTCAAAGGCCGGCCCTTTAATTTTGGATTGAACGTGCGCGAAGCTCTTTCCAACTTGCTCTTGCCTTGTAGAAGCGACACGTTTGTCATGCCAGCACTCTCTTGTAAACACGTACAATAAGTGTGTCGCGTACCGTGACGTTCAAGCGTAATATTTAGTCTTTGCTTAAAAGCAACGTTGCGTTTGTCGAAATTTGGTAAGTAGATTTCTCTACGAATCAGAGTATTCAGACGTTACCGCGTCGTACAATAGTAATACATTTGGCATGTGTAAAAAACATTGATACGTATTTGCGTGTCGTAGTTAATATGATTAATGCATGTATTAAAATTATATTTTAATTATCACTTGATGGAAGACAAATCTCCAATAAATAATTTGTAAACAACTTTATGCATTTGCATAATTATGTAAATTTTAATATTGCATTGTTATTTTATGGAAAAAAAACGAGTTAAAAATATAAATAAAGTATTTCACGCGTGCTGCAGACCGGTAATAAATAATAATTACTTGTCAATGGTCGAACGTTCTTTTTAAATATTTTCTCGTGATCAAATTACGCTCTCTCTCTCTCTCTCTCTCTCTCTCTCTCTCTTGCAGTCGCGGCGTTTCACATGTGTAAACACTTAAAAAGCTATATTTCAACTTTAAATACAATTGCTTGGCAATGTGACAATGCAATGAAATGAGCGCAAACAAAGAAAAGTAATTATATTAATAAAAATGGTTCAAAATCTCAGTAACTGTAGAAAAGTATTGTGATGTGATTATATCACATATGATTATTTAATTTAGAGAATCTCAAATGTCTAAACACACACATTCGCGAACATATATACCACCAATATAAGACATTAGCGAAAAAAACGAATATTCATATATATGTATTTTTTTGACGAAAGAATCTAATTCCTTTTACTTACTCAGCCATATCGGAATCCTTGGCCACTCGACAGTGTACACCGCGATCGACGAGACATTTTCCGGTCACAGGATCGGGCGGTGCAAGATTGATATAGGGTGGTTCTTCTAGAAAAGTTATTTTAAGATAAAACTTTTCCGGCACTCCTTGCGGAGGCGTATGAGTATTGCCCGGCCAAACAATGTCCTTGATGTCCAAACCTTCCTTTTCCCAAGACTTCCAGACGCCGATCTATCAACAAGCAAAAAGACGTATGTGGTGTAATTTTATTTCATAAATCTTCTTTTTATAACTTTTTACATAATTAATGCCGTCTTATTAATGTGAATGTGTGTACAGTATTGTTTTAAATCTTGTGTACAGTATTGAATCTTGCTTCTCTTTTAGCATATGATTACGTGCGTAATTGTTCCTAGAGAAGAAAGCACCGACAAAGAAAATATAACGTGGAACAAAAATAGAATTATAAATAAAGTTTTTTAGCAGTTATGTCTCTGTGAATCTCTCGGTGACAAACTAGTGCGAAAGAAGAGTTAGTCGCAACTAAAATTCATTATATACCTCAACTGCTTCTCCGACGCGTATCGTTTCTCGCAATCGGGCGCGTGCAATTTACTTCCCATTCAGACAAAATTCTACTTGGTAAGGCTCCATTACTAATAGAGCTCCATTACTCAACGTCGAAGAACATTTTATGATACATTCATCAACGCCGATGGCTACCTTCTTAGATTCACTATTGTAATAATAGCATAAAAAACTTCAGTTAATTTGTTGCTATAAAAAAGAAGTGTGTAGAATAGAGTATAGAAGAGAACAGAAATAGAACAGCAATAGAGGTACGATATAAACCTACCCTTTAATTACGTTATAAAATATATTTTCTGAAAAATATCTTAAAAAAATAAAATACAAATGTGTTAGACAAAAACTCGCCGTAATTTACGTCAAATGTAATGTCAATTTGATATTCATTTTGTATATTAAGAATGTCATTAAAGCTGCACGCAGCAATTTAGTAGTGGACGGGCTAACGAAATATGGAAATGGCGCAGGCATAATTTATGCCGGCAATTAAAACCATTTGCACATACGCGGACGTTTCTGCACGTTAAAACTTACGGTCGACCACGGATATATGAGAGAAAATACGTGACAGTCGCGACAGAAAGATACGTCGGCAGCATTGAAAGTGCACTTATGCCTGTTTTTCGGATCTCTCGCGCATTTCCTGAAAGCTTCGTCGAACATTAAACTATATCGATTTTCAGTAATTGTGAATATGCGAAGTATTGATAATAAGAAATCAAAAAGAGAAATAAAACAGATGAAGGAAAGCTTTGTGTGATTTTTGTTTCTGATATTAAATTTCATACTTTTAATTTTAATTGTAAAAAAAATAAACATTAATGAAGCTTTTATACTACGTATATGTGTTGTGTTATATCATATTTTTTGTTAAATTATAAATATCGTAGTTTTCTGAAAAACAATAAAAATTTTTTCCAACGTGATATATTTAAAAAGTAATTTATTTTATTAGAGGAAAAGAATTTTTTAAATATGTAATTAAAATCAGAAATATATCATAGCTCCTAAAATAAATAATATTTTCACGGCTGTTGTCTCTAATAGAGAGATAAAATTTCACCGTAACATACATCGACAGTATTGATTTCTGATAATTAAAGACGAATTCTTGTGATATAAACAAAAACTTGTGAAAATTATCTACTAATTCTCTGAAAGACAATGTAAATTCTTACTCTCGTATTATGTACATTATCGAGAATCGATAATATATTTACATATTATAAATATTTAGAAAACGAAAAACAAACATTATTTCGCAAGATTGTTTGTTGCCATAAATTGATGAAAGTAGAAGTATTATAATGTATTCTATTAAATAATAATATATAATCTTCTTATATATAAAATTACTTTTAGAATACATATTTTTACAAATTTAATTTTATTTCACATCTATTATATCGTAAAAATATTTTAACGTGCATTCCAGATCTTTATTTTACAAACTACTTTTAACTTTAATTTTCTGTATTTAAAAACTTCCATTGTACGATATTTATTTTGAAAAACTTCGGTACAGATACAATGTCCAATTTAAAATTCTATCACAAAGTGTTTTACTATACTTCATATCTGTTTCTACTTCTATCTGTTTCTACTATACTTTATCGATTATTCATTGATTCTAGTGCATGTTTAATCGAGTGCATTCGAACGCGAATTGATTTATTCCTTACATTCAAAACTACTCTATTAAAACAATAATTTTATGGGAATGTGAACAAGGATTCTAACTAGACCAATCTATTTACACTGGCAATATTCTCCGTATTCATTTCCGTCGTTTCATGTAGCGCGCGCGTTCTGTTAGCCGTCAAAATATATTTAACAGTCGTATACCATGACGAAGAAAGTAGATGGCTCCATGTAGAATACATAGCAACTTTCCCAGGTGCAGCAAACCAATAAAACGAAATTGCATTGATCCAGTGTCGCCTAACTTCTGAATATGTAAAGCTTTCGCCAGCGATGCACCTCGATGCGTCCGAGACATCTACATATTAAAAACCGATACTGCACGAGAGGATAGGTTGCATCGAGCGTGTCGTGATGAAAATTCATATACACGTTTGTGTACGGCAGTCGACTTTTTCTTCTAAATGTCTAAACTTCTAAAATGCATACCGGCGGACGCGAACAAGCTCAAAATTAGTTTGATCGGTCACTTCGTTTCCCGGAAAGTCCGGGAATCGTCCAAGAGATTGCACATCTATAATTTAAAAGCTCGATACTCGCCGCGAGTATGTAATTTGATGCACTCGGAACTTTCCACACGTATGCCTATCAATTGCATTCCGTGTCTGTGAATTATACAGGCTTTCACGCAAATGTTCTATGCATTTAGTTATGGGAAATCCTCCGTTTATATACTGGAATTACGACAAACGCGCACACATATTTATGTGCTAATGCGGTTACAAGCGCGACGCAGGCGAGAATAACGAAACAAGCATCAAGCGGAATGTGCGATGAACGAAAACGCGTTTCGAGAGAACTAGAGTAGTAGACAAATATAAATTTTGTAATATATATCGTCACACAGTAGTGTAAGAGAAACATATATAAATTAGTACTTAGAAAATCTAAAACGAGTCTACAGTTTTTAATTATAGATAGATATTACACATTACATCTCTCTCTTATCACAGTATATATGTTATGAATATTTTCAATGTCACAATATTTTCAGTTTCCACAATTTTGCGTAATAGAGACACGGAGTGATTCGCGCAGTTCGAGCGCCACTTTGTTGGGCGTGAACTTGGCGCAAGGCACTACCGTGCTTCTTGATATATTACTTAGTTGTATTAGTAATGTTTTAATATACACAACACAGACGCGCGCTACGCGCACGCTGTTGTTGTTTTTATTTTAACGTGTTGTGCCAGTAAACACACTCTGTTACCGCAATGACAGCTAGTTTACACGTCTTACAAACCACATGATACACATGATGTATGTACATGAGAGATGTCAGAAATAACGCATGAAAATCAAACTCAAAAAATAAAAGAAAAAAGAGAGAATGGAAAAACACGTGACTAAAGTCACGTGATAAGAGAAAAAGTAAAAACGAGGATATTATATATGTATTATATTATATATATTATATTATATATAATATTTTATATCTATATATAATACACATACACACACACACATATATATATATATATATATATACCGTAATCACGTGAACAAAGTCAGTGACCCCGTCGCGGTCGCGCGGCCGAGGTCAGTGATCCCGCCAAAGTCGCGCGACCGAGGTCAATGACCCCGCCAAGGTCGCGCGGCCGAGGTCAGTGACTTTACTGTAGTATATATAGAATACAATATAAAGTATAATATTATAAATATACAATAAATTATATGTATAATATATATTATTTAATGTTATATATAATATAAATTACGTGTATTAGTCACGTGTTTTTTTCTCTACTCTTTCCTGTCACGTTACTTTACTTTAGTCACGTTTTTAATTTTTTCCACGTATACGACGAACTGTCAAAATCGCTTTTCTGTCATTATTTACTTTCTTGATCTTATCGATTCGATTCGATTCGACTCGACTTGATCAACCAACCAACCAATTGACAACGCGGAAAGAAGTCAACAATAGATGCGATACATTCGACTCAAAAACGCGCGGTACACATGGATTTTTTTTAATGAAAAATTTATATTAATATTTTTCAACAATTAAAAAATCTTAGGCTCTGAAAGTTTCTAAACGCGAAATATATAAACGGTGAATAAAAGCTCCCCGTACGCTGGATGGTTGTGGAAGAAATATGTATATATATATATATATGTATTCACATGTAAATTTTACACATGAATGTTTGAATTGAAATATCAATTCTTAAATTTATATATAATACTATATTTGCATCACACATATATGTGAGAAACTCAGTATACCCCCTTAACTCTCTCTAATTTTAAAATATTGCAAAAAAAATATATATACATATTTCCGCCACAACATCCAGCGTACGGCTCTTACTCATCGTTTATATATTTCGTGTTTAATATTTTTCTTTTAATATAAATATGTATATATATACTTCTCAGATATAAAAGAAAATTTTTTACGCGTCATTTCTCTTTTAGTTTCCTTTGTTTATCTAAATCTGCATTTGTCAAATGTTTATTTATATACAAATATATATTTATATTTTTGAATTTTTCTGATAATGACTAATAATAAACTATATAACATTTTTTTCCACTTTGCATAGTACCTTTACTAATAATAAATCGTGTATCGCGGCATAATACAAGCCAGGAAATCGAGGAAGACTCGGAAATTAAACTTTTGCTGGGAAATATATCTCGCGAAACGTCGCGTGCAAATAGCGCTCGCTACAAAGTGTCGGTGATGAATTAATATGATTACATTAACGTGCTATGAATTAATGAACAGATTACAAGTTTATTACATGAGTCGTGGTAATGCAGTTAACTGTGCTGCGTGATACGCTATAACGCGTTCTTTGACACAGATATTCCGTTTTGTTTTCCATCAAGGTAATCGCACATGCTATTTTGACACAGGGATCCAACCATTGTTTCGTACAGTCTCGTAGAATTTCCTAATTATTGCGGTCTCTACTGTATCGCTTGCTAATTAT